GCTCACCCAGGCTGGTTTGGTTAGAGACAGGAGCTGTTGAGAGGAACATGTGTGTACAACAAAGGTAGCAAGGGGAGCTGTGCCAAGTAGTAAATGGTCCAATGTTTCCATATAGCAATACAATTTACATATTTTCTAAACTATGAATGGGCTATTTTTTAATGATTTGATGGTTCATATGTTGTGCTCAGTAAACAGGACTTTCATTATTCTGCTGTGGTGACAGTAGTTTATCTAATCAGGAAAAGAAGTTCCAATGTCTTCCCAATCTATCAATATTTAAAAAAATATATATTTTAGTAGGGGTGCTACTTTATGAGCATACCAGCTATAAATAAACATTTTTTAAAGGCTTTAACCAAAAATTAGCAAGCTTGAACAAGTCACTTTTTAGGGCTTGATGGCTGTTTTGTTGTCCTCATGTCACAGGACTTGTTTTTATTATGCTACAGAAATAAATATTTTTTTTGTTTGTCCTAGTAAACAGAGGTTAATGTTGTTCATGCTGGGAGCTGTAATCATTAACAGCTATCCATGTGTACTTTATACACACCAAGCCTAGGTCAAATGACAGCTATAATTTGTTGTTATATCTGAAAAAAAGTCGACTCTTAAAACATCCCTGTAAAAGTCTTGACGGAGGCGAGGAAAAATATTTTACAACACTGTGAAGGCCAAGATTAGGTCATGATAACAAGTCAATTAGATGGTCAATGGGTTAAAGGTAAAATTTGAATTAGTGGGTGTTAATTTTTAGTCAGCTAGCTAGACGGTTGGAATAAAGAGGTGCTAATAGTCTGCAGCTGTTCACGGATCTGCAAAAAACTGAGAAAGGAAAACTACCCTGGAAGAAGAAAAAGAAAATGATATAAAGTAGTTGTCTGTTTAATCCCTTTGAGTGTTGGAAACACAGAGCAGATGGTTGCTTTCAGATACTGATCCGTGGTAGGTGTTCTGATGCTTGCAACATAACCCAAGTGATGATAACAGACCCATCTACTTAAAGCAAAGCTTGTTAACTTGGAACCTCAGGGAAATATGGAAAAAAAAAAACACCAGTTCATTTACGCATTAAAAAATATATAATACGAATTGTTTATATTAGGGTTTGCATTCCAGAAATTAGGCACGGAGTAAGAGTGCCAACATTGTGAGGCAGACTGTTATCCTAACAGAGTTTTCATTTCACCAATTTTTCGGCAAAGATTAATCATTTCAGTGGGGTCAATGGTTCGGCATTGGCAAACGTGGAATAAAAACCATATATACTGCATATATATATAATATATATATATATATATATACACACAGTATATATGCACACAGAGGCGTGAGTTTTGAGCTTGAAGCAAAGCTTGCATATTGAGATTTGCACACAGTGCATTGCATGGCCTTTGAACTATGGCAAGCTTAGAAGGGCCAATAAGAAGGCTTTGGATTGGTCATTATTATTATTATTATACAGTATTTATAAAGCGCCGATAGTTCGCTCAGCGCTGTACATTACAAAGGGGGACAGAACATGTGACAGAACAATACCAATACAATGCAAAACATGAGGGGGATCGAGGGCCCTGCTCTTTCGAGCTTACAATCTAGAAGGGAGGGGATAGTGGTACAGGAGGAGATAGCTGTGGGGGATGGAGTGGTAGGAAGAGTGGAGGAGGTCGGTCAAGTTAGCAGGGGGTGGGGTAGGCTTCCCTGAAGAGATGGGTTTTCAGGGTGCACCTAAAGGAGAGGAGAGTAGGTGATAATCTGATGGGTTGGGGCAGGGAGTTCCAGAGGATGGGTGACACCCTGGAGAAGTCCTGGAGGCGGGCATGGGAGGAGGAGACCAGGGAACTAGAGAGAAGGAGGTCTTGTGAGGAGCGGAGTGTGCGTGCTGGGCGGGTACTTGGATATTAGGTCAGTGATGTAGTACGGGGCAGTATGGGTGGACGGCTTTGTACGTCAGTGTTAGGATTTTAAATTTGATCCGTTGCGCAATCGGAAGCCAGTGGAGGGATTGCAGAGGGGGGTGGCGGAAACGGAACGGTTGGAAAGGTGAATGAGTCTGGCAGCCGTATTCAGGATCGACTGAAGCGGGGATAGCCAGCGGCGAGGCAGGCCAGTGAGGAGGGAGTTGCAGTAGTCGAGTCGTGATATGATGAGGGAGTGGATGAGCTGTTTAGTGGTTTCTGGGGTTAGGACCGTGCGTATTTTGGCGATGTTGCGGAGTGGTCATTTCAATCACTATAAAAGAAAGGGGGCAAAACACGGCTATAATTTCAGAGAAGCTGTTGTAGGGAAAGCTGCAAACTGCTTAAGCCCTGGTTCACACTTCTGCAACTTCAGGTGCGAATTGTGATTTGCAAATCGCACCTGAAGTCGCATCTAGTATATTTCTATGGCACTGGCTTAATAGATGCAAATTCAAGTAGCGTGAGTTGAAGAATAGTCCCTGCATTACTTTTTTACCACTTTGGTGTGATTTAACTCTTATAGATTATAAAATAAATGGCACTGAAATTGCATCTGTGTCTATATCAGTTCTACTTTGAAGTTGTGCTGTAAATGGGAACAAATTGCATCACTTTGAAATCGCATTTGGTGTGATACAGGGCTTAGGGTTAGTCAATAAACATTACATTCAGTCTGATTGCTAGCTCCTTGGCCAATCAAACTCTTTGTTACCTTTATTCTGACTATTGGAGCTTGTTTGGATTTCATTTTATTTTGTGGTTGATTTAAGGTCAACAGTCACTATAGCTGCTGTTTTTTTTCTATAGCAAACTTTTTTTCTGCAAGGCTTCTATATGAAAAAAGAGGGTTTTTTTTCAACTGATGGTATTTTAGGGTTTTAATTTATTTTGACGGTATATTTTTATTATATATTGATAGGGTTCTTTAGCATAGGTGAAATTGAAGTTTGGGGGTGCTTAACCCTTTGAGGACCAAAGGTGAACATTTCACTTTAAACACAGATGAGTAATATCAGTCTGTATATGCAGTAAAGCATGCTTGTTATACTCACTGTGGAACCTAAGGGTCAATCCTCAGCATTGTGTAAATAGGTTGTTTAATTCTGTCTTCTCCGATCCTCTCCTTTACTATCCCCAGTCCATCTGCTGATAGAACAGAGCTCTAGTAGTCACTCTGTACATGCTCAGTTTAGTGTGTATTGCTAGAGAGTTTTTTTCTTTTTGTTTGGGAGGGTGCATGTGATCAGCACAGGGGTTATGCAGCCTGATAGACTGGTAAGAGCAGAATGAAAACACCTCCTGCAAGCTTTAACCAGTGCTCAGCTGGACACTGACAGAAGTCACCAGACTGCTATATACTGTTAATGAGAAAAATTATTTAGCAGTTTATATTTACTAAAATGATTGCATTTCCATGTTTCTGTGTACTGTGGGAATCTAGATAAAGTGAATGCAGGGTCCTGGGTTTAGCAACAATGTAAACTGTTTCTTGTCCACAGCAAGCTGCTGTATCTAGAACTGTGTGCACCTAAACCATTTTATATAATAAGATTCACATTTCACAGATTCCATAGATAATGGAGCATGGTGGTATACACCGGTAAGGTTTATTATCCCTGAATAAAAATGTCCTGCTGCTGACCAATTTTATACTGTTGCATGCTCAGCAGTATCTTGATTCTTGTAGTAAAACCCAGCAGCGCTCTTTATCTCTATCCAAAATGGCGGCATGCGCACTTCCAGTTTGCGGCCTGACGTCATTTTGGAAAATGGATTTCTGCACACTTCTTACAGCAAACACTGTATAGTGAGTTTTAAACCCTGTAGTGTCCCAGGAGGATACGTTTTAATGTGAGTTGAACTATATTATTTTAATAAAGGCTGTTTTTAGTGGCAATACTTCACTATATTGATCATTCTTTTCACATGGATGTGGAGCGATCTGGAGATGTGTAAAAGAGCTGGCTAAGGGTGGTGAACATCTGTGTACCATTATACCCTCCCGGGTTAAAGGGAGAAGCGCAGTTTGACCTGTGATCATGGGTTAAACTTGGAGGTGAGCGCAATAGAGTGTTGGAGGTGGATAAGCACTAAGGGGTGACACAGGAGCACCGTACACGTTTCCACAGTAATGTGTTACACTGATCTACTTGAAGTACAGTGGATTTAAAGCAGGGGTCCTCAAACTACAGCCCGTGGGCCACATGCGGCCCGCCGAGGCCATTTATCCAGCCTGCCAGCAGGGGCGTATTTTCTGCGAGGAAGGGACACTAAGTACAGGGGTGGGCAGGGGGCTGCTATACCTTACCTGGCTCCGGTCCCAGTCCCACGACGATCCAGTCCAGGAAGCACTGCTCCTTCATTCACTCCGGCCACTTCCTCACTCCTGCCGCTCGGCTCCGCCTCCTCAGCGGTGATTGGGTGCCAGAACTGTAGCTCAGGAAAGGCACACAGGCGGCCAATCACCTGCGAGGAGGCGGAGCCGAGCGGGCCCCCCCGTGAACATCAAGTGAGGGAGAGGCTGGAGTGAAGAAGGACATCTGACAGGTAAGTGTGCCTTGCTGATGGTGCTGCTGCAACCAGGTATGCTGGCTGCAGCAGCACCATGCTGGAGCAGGGGTCAGCAAGTTAAGTGTCATTGGTGTCAGTGGGAGGAATAGTGCCCCATCATTGGTGTCACTGATACTAATGATGGGGCATTATTCCTCCCACTGACACCAATGATGGGGCACTATTCCTCCCCCCACTTACACCAACGATGGGGCACTATTCCTCCCCCCCACTGACACCAACGATGGGGCACTATTCCTCCCCCCCACTGACAACCAACGATGGGGCACTATTCCTCCCCCCCACTGACACCAACAATGGGGAACTATTCCACCCCCCACTGACACCAATGATGGAACACTATTCCTTCCCCCACTGACACCAATGATGGGGTACTATTCCTACCACTGACACCAATGTTGGGACATTATCCCCCCCACTGACACCAATGACGGGGCACTATTCCCCCCCACTGACACCAATGACGTACTATTCCTCCCACTGACACCAAAGATGGGGCACTATTCTTCCCACTGACACCAATGATGGGACACTATTCCTCCCACTGACACCAATGTTGGGACACTATCCCCTTCCCCCACTGACACCAATGACGGGGCACTATTCCCCCCCCCCACTGACATCAACGATGGGGCACTATTCCTCCCCCCCGACACCAACAATGGGGCAGTATTCCTCCCTCCACTCCCTCCACTGACACTAATGATGGGGCACTATTTCTCCCACTGACACCAATAATGGGGCACTATTCCTCCCACTGACACCAATGATGGGGCACGATTCTTTCCACTGACACCAATGATGGGGCACTATTCCTCCCACTGACACCAATGATGGGGCAGGTTTCTTCCCACTGACACCAATGATGGGGCACTATTCCTCCCACTGACACCAATGATGGGGCACGTTTCTTCCCACTGACACCAATGATGGGGCACGTTTCTTCCCACTGACACCAAAGATGTGGCACTATTCTTCCCACTGACACTAATGATGGGGCACTATTCCTCCCACTGACACCAATGATGGGGCACTATTTTGCTCCATAAGACACACTTGGGGGGAAATGTCTGTGCTTCTTATGGAGCGGCTGGCCCAGTATTCCCGCCGCCGTTGTATGTCCGAAGTCTCTGGTCATCTCCTGTACTGTGTCCACATTTGTTCATAGGTTTGTTTTTTTTTAAACTATAGTCCGGCCCTCCAACGGTCTGAGGGACCGAGAACTGGCCCCCTGTTTAAAAATTTTGAGGACCCCTGATTTAAAGGGACAGTCCACCATTTTATGAGACCCATAATCGTATCGTACGACGCTTGTTGCTGGTGCATTTGAGTCACGATCTATAGGACATATACCACACAAGTTCATGTGATGATATTTAGATTTCATGGGATAGTTCACTATTAAGGACATTTTATTTGTTATTTGTGTGCACAATTCATTTATAGCATTGGTTATGTGCAGTTCTATGGGTGCCTACATGTGTGCATTGGTAAGACATTTGGTGTAGTGTACATTGATTCTCACAAACACAGTTTTTTGTTTCTTCACTACTTATATATGCACGTATCATATTGTTAGCACCATATTTCTGTATATATTGTTGCGCTGCATTTTTCATTTATTTATGGCTTTACATGTAGGAACACATTATATGCTAGTCGTACAATTTCTTCAGGAGGTGTATTGCGCTGAGGGTTCTCTATACACAATGGTGTCCATAGTTGCCAACATTTCAAAAACATTTTTAGGGACACTTTTTTTTCTGTATGTCCGGAAAGCCAGTGCAGGCGGAGTAGTATGTTAATTAAGGGTGGGACATACACTTCTAGGGTGTGGCTTATCATGGAAGGAAAAGTCAGCTGTGAGCCTAGCGCGCCACGCTGTGCCAAAAAACGGGGTGGATTAAATAACGTTAAATATTGGGTGTGGCTTAGTAAAGTGAGATTCTTGGGCTCACTTCATGCAATTTTGATCTACACCCCAACATCCCAAAAAAAAAATAAACACACACATTGACTTATCTACAAAAAACTTTAATAATGTAAACATAAAGAACGGGTCCCCACTTACTGATTGGCTCCTCGAGGTTACTGCAGTTAGTACAGGAGAGGGTCAGAGACTGCAGGCATAGTACAGGAGATGGTGAGACACAGTAGACATACTACAGGAGTTGGTTAGAGACTGTAGGGGTAGTACAGGAGTTGGTTAGAGACTGCAGGGGTAGTACAGGAGAGGGTCAGAGACTGCAGGGGGTAGTACAGGAGAGGGTCAGAGACTGTAGGGGTAGTACAGGAGAGGGTCAGAGACTGCAGGGGTAGTACAGGAGATGGTCAGAGACTGTAGGGGTAGTACAGGAGAGGGTCAGAGACTGTAGGGGTAGTACAGGAGTTGGTTAGAGACTGCAGGGGTAGTACAGGAGAGGGTCAGAGACTGTAGGGGTAGTACAGGAGTTGGTTAGAGACTGCAGGGATAGTACAGGAGAGGGTCAGAGACTGTAGGGGTAGTACAGGAGTTGGTTAGAGACTGCAGGGATAGTACAGGAGAGGGTCAGAGACTGTAGGGGTAGTACAGGAGTTGGTTAGAGACTGCAGGGGTAGTACAGGAGAGGGTCAGAGACTGTAGGGGTAGTACAGGAAAAGGTCAGAGACTGCAGGCATACTACAGGAGAGAGTCAAAGACTGCAGGTATATGTTTTTAGGGGGAGAAGGCTTATTATGTTTTATTATATTTATTAAAAAAACTCATTTATGGGAATAAGTGGTGAAAAGGAGTAAACCCCTCTTTTTAACCAAGATGTTAGACTGAACAATTCGGTTTGTTCACAAGCTGGTCGGTAAGTTCAGCTGGGAACTTTTCTCTTTTGTTGTTTTAAAGAGCTAATGGTGTTGGCTCTTAACCATTTGTCAGCTGTGTCCAATCACAACTGATCACATGTAAACAAATGCCGGTTATCGGCATTTCCTTTCCTCAGCGCTGTCACTGTCTGAGAAAAGGAAAACCAATAACCGACTTTCCTGTGACAGGGGACATTTACACTTATAATCAGGGCACTAATTATCAGTGCAGCACCATCAGTGTCCATCAGAGCAGCATATCAGTGCCCATCAGTGCAGCCCAATCAGTGCAGCATATCAGTGCCCATCAGTGCCACCTATGAGTGCCACTTTATTAGTGCAGACTCATCAGTACCTCTTCATCAGTGCCCATCAATGCAGCTTATCAATGCTCATCAGTGCCACCTCATCAGTGGCCATCAGCGCCGCCTCATCAGTGCAGCCTATTAGTGCCCATCAGTGCACATCAGTGAAGAAGGAAACTTACCTATATGATACATTTTATAACAGAAACGAAGAAATATGTTTTTGTTTGTTTAGTGGTGATTAAATGTGGTGATTAAATACCACCAAAAGAAAGCACTATTTGTGTGAAAAAATGATACAAACGCAATTGCCATTCAAAGTGTGAGAGCACTGAAAGCTGAAAATTGGCCTGGACAGGAGGGGGGTGAAAGTAGCCATAATTGAAGTGGTTAAACCAATTTAAAACCAGTTTCCTATGGATGGTACTCCCAATCTCTTCTGTCTCTCAGGTTTGACAGTTTTAGTAATTTGGATTTTTTATTTTGTTAGTGGTAATTCTCTGTTAGATTATAATGGTACTCAGGTCCTGGTTCAATGACCGTGGGATTACTGTGCTTGATTGGTCAGCAAACTCGCCTGACCTGAATCCCATAAAGAATCTATGGGGCATTGCCAAGAGAAAGATGAGAGACATGAGACCGAACAATGCAGAAGAACTGAAGGCCGCTATTGAAGCATCCTGGTCTTCCATAACACCTCAGCAGTGCCACAGGCTGATCGCTTCCATGCCACACCGCATTGAGGCAGTGATTGCTGCAAAAGGGGCCCAAACCAAGTACTGAGTACATATGCATGCTTACACTTTTCGGAGGTCCGATATTGTTCTATGTACAATACTTGTTTTATTGATTGCATGTAATATTCTAATTTTCTGAGATAGTGGATTTGGGGTTTTCATGAGCTGTAAGCCATAATCATCACAATTATGACAAATCACAGCTTGAACTATCTTGCTTTGCATGTAATGAGTCTATCACATATATTAGTTTCACCTTTTAAGTTGCATTACTGAAATAAATGAACTTTTGCACGATATTCTAATTTTTCGAGTTTCACCTGTATATGGACATACCTCCATGGAAATCATTTACATGAGAACAAAGTCCGATCACCTGCACTCCAAACAATACACTTTATTGAGGATAAAACCAATACAGACAGTGGAAATACAATGGGGGACTGGATGGTAAACGCGTTTCATGCTAAAGTCAGGGTTAATGATTAAGCTAGCACCTACAGGAGGAGTTGTGCTTGGAGATTGGGAGTCTCTCTACCTTGAGCAGTGGTAAACATATATGTGAATGGTATGTATTAGTATGTGTTTTTTGTATACTCTCCCTATGATAGTTTAACAATGCAATAGGAATGTATGTTTTTAACAGATGTCCTTCCATTCTGTAGATTCTGGCACTTTCATGTGCTCTGGAAGAAGGATTCCCGAAGCGAGTTGAGTCTACTTGTGAATTATGTCGGAATCTGTACATGTTGTGTAACGCTAAGCAGTCCTTTTTAATTTTATTCTGTAGTGTACTATTTTTAATGTGGTTTATTAAAGACGTCATCATGTTGGATTGCCATTTTGGACCATCTTTGTGGATTGATGCTTTTTATCCTTTGCGTTTGTAAGTGCATTTTTGTTTGTTTAATAAACTAGTTGTATTTTCCTGCACTATGAGAGGCACCTCTTTATTTTGCATGAACAAACATTAACCCTAAACTTCAGGATGGCTTGATGAGTCTCGGGAGGTGCATTTGGTTCCATATAGACACAGGAGTCCAGATAATATATATACTGAGCATGTTATGACCCCCTATAGTGAAGGGGTCAAGAGATCTGGTAAGCCTCCAATTTGATACTATGGTGGTGGCTATTCACATTGGTGGTTATGTTGGAATGAAGATTTTTTCATTACTCAACACACAAATCAGGGGACTGGTTTACCTTTTATGGACTGTTCATGAAGTGTTTTCATTTTTGTAGTATTGTATGTACATCATTAACATATTTGCTTGCAATGAATATTCATAGCCAAAGATAAATGCAGGCTGAAAATTAGAGTCAATTGGCACAAGGGCCATGTGCCCTGATCAATCTAAGAGCAAACGTAAAACATTTTAAATGAAAGTAGAATAGAATTGGAATAGCTGACTTCCTGTCAAACAATCTCAGAAAATAATACTATTACCTGGAACAACATTTACCTTGAAAAAAAAAGCTATTGCCAAAGTTTTAAAGAGTCCACTATCCAATTTTCTTTTATTGGTATGGATAGTTTCACATACATGTTACATACAGATTTTTTTGAATCCCCAAGGTCAAATGGTCATAATTGATGATAGATACATTGTGACCAAAATTATTCAACCCCCACTGAAATTGAGTGTTTTGGCCAGTTTGACATTGCTTTTGATCATTCAGTCATCTTGCTTACATTTACATTAAAGAGGCACTTGTAGGTCAGACAAATATAACATAACAGTTATAATGAAATAACCACAAATGTCTTTTCTGTGCTCACAGCATTATCAGTTTTATTCAACCCCCAAGTGACATTCAATCTTAGTACTTAGTACAGCATCCTTTTACAGTTATAACAGCTTTTAAACGTGCAGCATAGCTTGACACAAGTGTCTTGCAATCTACGGGTATCTTCGCCCATTCTTCATGGGCAAAGGCCTCCAGTTCAGTCACATTCTTAGGCTTGCGCACTGCAACTGCTTTCTTTAAGTCCCACCAGAGGTTCTCATCGGATTTAAGTCTGACTGCGATGGCCACTCCAAAATGTTCCAGCCTTTCCTCTGCAACCATGCTCTAGTGGACTTGGAGGTATGCTTGGGATCATTGTCCTGTTGAAAGGTCCAACGTCTCCCAAGCCTCAGGTGTGTGACGGA